GAAACCAGATCATACAAATTTTATTTAAACTCGCTGTCATTGACTTGCATTTTATTTCTTGGTCCAGCTGAAGCAGGAAAATCCTGATTTTTCAGCTCTGCAAGTTCTATGATTACATGAGAATCCCCTAAAGAGCTGATAAAATAAATAATTGCTTCTGGCTAATTGTTTCCAAACTACAGATGCAGTCATATAGTCAAAAACCATCATGGCCAGGTCATGGAACATCTGTTTCATATAGAAATGTTGTGGTTCTTTTTGTATTCCTGTCCATCATATGCTCTTGTTGAATTTGGTGCAATTATTTGTGGAAAAATGTTGTTGCTTTTTGAGAAAGGCTTTGGAATCTGCCATTTTCCAGCAGTGTATTTCTGCATTGCATTATTCCCCCCAAACAGAAAGCAGCCATAAAGATGTGTCAGAAAGACAGGTTATTCTAAAAAAACTTATGATAGGTGACAGTCTGTTTTCAACAGTGTTCTGTGCCATTTGATATTTGTTTTCTATCACATTAACTCTTAGTTGCCCTATTTGGTAAAGATGTGTGTTGATAGGAAAAAAACAAACAAACAAACAAACTAGAAGCAACATTTTCTGAACAACCTGACTGACTGATAGAAATTCTGTTAGGTTGTTCCTCTTGTAGCTAAAAATATATAAAGTACCACAGGAAGGGAAGAGATTCTGGTCAAACGTGGCTCTCCAGTAGTAGAGATGAATACAGAACTGAAGCTGTGGTGATCCTGATCGCTAATTTTATCGGGTGTTTGCTCTGTTATCTCAACTTTCTCCCTGTAAATGGATTATTAATCCATCCTCCCTTCAGAGATTTTGTTTAGTACAGTCCTTTGACGCTATTGATGAAGGATTTCCTCTGCAGTTTAACCCACCTACCTCTTTGTGCAGATACTCCTGACCACATCAATAATGTTTCTCTGAAGAATCAGGTTCACTGTTTTGCATGAGGATTTGATGAATGTAATGCTGAGGATTTTCCCTGAAAATCTGGAAGAGACACTGAAATTGCTTCAGTGAAAAGTGATCCAGAGCATTGAGTTTTATATCCCTGAATTAACAGTGAAGGGAAGAGGAAAACTAAAGTAATTTCACAGTAAAGCCCCAGCATGCTGGTGAGTAGGAGAATATTCTTTCTCCATGAATCATGCTCACTCCTGGGGAGGAAAGATAGACACCTATTTCTCTTGCCATTTACCCTCTGGCCAGCTGGCTGAAGAAGAATAATGCACCTATAGCCACATGTTGGAATGTCTTTTCTGCTCTCTCAAGTTGTTATAATGGTTAGAACAGAGAGGAATTGTGAAGGACTGCATTATCCTCACCCTTTAATTTTGCAGGATGCTTTTTGGGGCTTCTGTTCTGCAGTACAGAAACAGCATCTTGTCTGATGTATGCATACATACGGTGGACACCAAAGTAAGGCTACCACTAGTAAGAAATACTGACTTTAATGTCATGAATTACTACTACTCCCTCCCCCTTCACCCCTTCCCTGGAAGAGGAAGGAGAAAAAAAAAGCCAAGGCACTAAGACCACTTTAGAAAAATGAAGTAGAAATGCTTATTTATTTAGCAGCTACAGCACAGAAGGAGAACACCAAAAATCAAATAAAATACCCCTAAAGTATGGAAGTCTAGTGCTAGCAAGCACCAGTTCAGTGTTATCTCCTATGGCTACAGTTGGACGCAGCAGCAGGAGTGTTATTTTCTCCCTGCATGATATGAGTCACTTCCATAGGAGACAATATGCAATCCTAAGAGCTAAGCACTAGGTGTTTCATATTTGCTGAATCTCTTGCTTTGAGTCATTGATTTCTTCGCATCGAATCTCATCTCTGGCCCAGTTAGTGAGCCATTAAGTGAGGAGTCTACTGTGCTGATGAAATAATAATTCTGTTTACAGATCGCCTTCTCACCAAGACTCTGTAGGTGCAGCACAGTATCTGCTTAATTCACACTTTTAATAATTAAAGCTTTTCTGCCTAATGCCTTTGTGCAAAACAGAATTCTTGTGCTGTCTTCAATCAGAAGCAATTGCAGGGAGGTGGTCTGGGGAACTGTTCCTAGAAAGCTGCCCATTTGTTTGGCACCAGAGTATCCTTTCCTCTAGAATGAAGGAAAAATCCTTTTTAGGAAGGTGCTCAGGTCACATACATGAGCATATCAGCTGGGATGCAGTGGTACTCTATTGCTGCCATACTTGTGACCCCTTTCAGCATAATCTGAAAACGTAATTAACATGACAATTCAAAGTCTTTTTTCCCCCTTCTAAAATTTGAAAACATGCTGAAATTATATACATCTCTTAATGATTCCAGTGTCTAAGAAGGGAGGGGAGAAGACAGGAAGGAACAGCGTGTGCTGGCTAAGCAACTGATGTGCCATCCCATCCCTTCCCACTTGCACGCTGCTGGTTTTAATGTGAACAGTTACTTAGTGGTTGTCTTCTAAGAATTCATAGACACTTGCAAAACCTATTGTGAGTTTTACTTCCCTGGACCTCCTAAGCCCATTTATAATATAGTCAGTGAACCTGATTTAAGAGAGAATACAGATCAGTTACAAATGTTAAAATATCCTTTAGCCATAAAGACTTGGTTCTCCTTTTATTTATTTATTTTTTTTTTCCCAATAAGCATTCACAATGTTTTTGTAAATAGCCACATTACATACAGGGCTCTGCATGTATCTTGTTGTTCAGGTGTAAAAAATGAGACAAAAAGAAAGGCTGTGAAGGATCAGATGTCATAATTCTAAGCTGCCATCATTATTGATTTTCATGTGTAGGCCTGCTCTTGGGCTAATACACTGTAATTAATTAGCTATATGGGCTGGATACAGCTCTGAAGTGACCATCTGCAGTGGGATGTGAAAAATGAACCTGAGAAATCGGCTATGTAACATGATGACTATCACACCTGGCTGGTGTGACTTCCCTTTGCTTGCAGGGAGGATGCCTGGAAGCTAGAGCACTTCTTATCTCAGAGTTTAGGTTTTAGGTCACGTTATTGCTTGTGTTTGGAATATTTTTTTGAGTAGGAAGACCAACAGGGAAAGGTGATAGTCCATGCTGGAATGAATTAATTTAGTTGACACTTTTGTAAATGTGAGCATTGGCATCCATAACTTCTGTTCCCAGATCCCTCGCAGATCCCTTGCTGTACATGTTGGGGGATGTGCTACATGTTTGACAGGTTACTCTGGTGCAAATTAAATTCCTTGAAAATGTCCAGCTTTATGTATTAACGTACTTGTATTTCTGTGCAGCTCCCCCTGCCTCCTTCCCCGCATATGTTTGAAGGGGCCCTGGCTTAAGGATAAACATTCATTTCAGTTCACATTGTATCATCCCAAACACTTTTTGCAAAGGCTATAGTAATAGAGGAATAGTTCTGGTGGTTATTCTACTGAATAGTCTCTTTCTGGAAAACCATCTTGTGTCATGGCATGTGAGCACTGACAGAGGGCTAGAGCTCACAGGAGAAAGGTGGCCAGACCTCCAGGAGAGGTGGTGGGTGAGGGTAAACTATCTTTGGCTGAAGTCTTCACCCCTCTTGCCCCTGAGTGGCACTATTGCTGGTGTGAAGGTATGGGAGCAACTAAAACTTGTGATGTCCTTAAACAATGTCTCTGAAAATATTTTCCTAAGATTTTTACTTTGCTTCTGTCACAAAAAGCAGACTGGAAAATAGTTTGAGAGCTCTTTAAGATAAATCCTTTTGTGCCTTTCCTACAGATGCAGGTAATTGCAGAGAGATTTGGGATCTGTCTAAGTCAGATCCTGCCCATTAAAAAATACATCTCAGGGTTGGATTTGACATGCAGTGTTGACATCCTTCTTTCTCTAGTAAGGCAGATGATATGTTTAGCAGACAGCTACTTTGACAACTTCCCTTCTGAGGAGCTGAAGGAAAATGCTGAAAATTTCCTGTAGCTCTTGGTATTTTATGTGTTTGCTGGCATAATCTTTATAAAATCCTGACACTGGGGGGTCACATTTGCTGCCACCACAAGCAGATGAAACTCCAGAGACATCCGTGGTATTGCATCTCATTACAGTTGTGATGCTGGACCTCCCTTTGATGAAAAATATTGCCTTGCTTACACATTATGGGAGAACAGACTCGCCCACTTCTGAGCTTTGATACCAATTCTGCAGTTTAAAAGGCAGCAGGATCTTTCCAAAACTGTAATTTCTTTCCATTAAGAGAATCACCTGCACAAACCTTTCAAGAAATTAAAAAAAAACAACAAAACACATCCTCTTAGTAGTGTGAATTACATCTTTAGTTATCCCTATCCATTTTTTTATGTTTTTTACTTCCTTTCTTTCATTCTACTGCACTAAAACCTACCTCCTGTATCCTAATGTTGAATAGCTAACTGCCCATATTATGTGATAACAACTAGCTCCAGAAACAGACTCTGAAACCATTGTAACCAGGCTCGACCTGCCAACATTCTCACTCAGAATGAGATGAAAACCAGGCTAGTGACTTATAAAAACAGTGTAGATTTTTCATTTTATCACTTCTTTAATAGGAGATCCCCAACAATTTTCTGGAAATATTTTGATGGGTTACTATGAATATATATTTCAAAATCATTACATATCTAGTTTGTTTTTATGTGGTTTGACTCTTATCAAGATGTATGTCAGATCTTACTTTACTATCTGAGAAGAAGGTTTAACTTGCATATTTATAAAATATTTAGGGCCACACGTAATGAAGTGGCAATGTGTTTTGGCACAGGTGCAACTGTGAATACTTTCAGTGTGTCAGATACAAGGTTTGTGACCATTACTATATCTTCTCTAAAGGTACAGGCAGACAAAACATCTTCTCATACAATAAGCCATAATTGAAATCGATTGTAAATTAATGTACAGAAATTTCTTTTTTAAAATGTCTTGGTCAAGTTTGCCCTCTAGTGGTACAGAGTTTGCTAACTCTGGACCCCCAGGAGCCCGTGCAAGAAGGGCGCTCTGCAGAGAGTATAGGTAATGGATTTCATTTTACTCTTGTTTAATTCATGGTTCAGATTATTTATCAGCCTTTACTGTGAGCTTCCCATGTACAGGGAAGACTTTTTCTCACCTAGAGGTTAGAGCAAAGTGTGAATATGCCTATTTTCCTTGCTGCACCGAGGAAGAGGAGAGAGAAGACCACCAAGTCTCTTATATGGAAGATAAGGCCAACGGCAGTTGGTAAGAGTTGGGGGGAGGAGGGGGTTGCAATTCAGTTTTCTGGGGTTTTTCTGTAGGAATACATTGAGCTAGTTGAAACACACTTGATTATGTAGCCCTTTCATTATGAACCTGTTTTCTGGTTAACAAGAAAAAGAAGTCCTACAAATAGAATGTTCAAGAATTCAGGCAAACAGAAGACCTTAAAGTAGGACTAAAATTGAAAGGTCTTTTCATATGAAGAAAATCTTTTGGGAAGGGAAGGGGGTAATGAAACCCAGTAGCTGTGAAATTGCTATGTGATAACCAAGTAAGCAACCTCTCAGTCTGTCATTCAGAGAAATTATTGCAGTTTTCAGACTTGAGTCAATGGATTAATATGGCAAACTATGCCACATATTTTGTTTCGCATACACTGTTTTAAATGATCTACCAACATTTCTGCAGCAGAAGAAACATTATTTTTTACATTCTTTTTTTCCATAGAGCACATGCTGATATAGAGGAAAATGGTGAAGTGCAATGAGTTCAGTGGTGTTAATGCAAATGTTGAGGAAAAGAATGAAATTCAAGAATGACGTAATGGAGAAATTATCAGGTATCTTCCTGAGGGGGCTGACTGGTGGTGATAAAAAAGTAGTGTTCCCTGTTCCCTTTTCCCTTTCCTCCCTTTCCTTTTTTTTTTTTTTTTTTTTTTTTTTTTTAACCATCTCAATTGCCTTAGGATAAAGTGCTTGTAGAATGACAGCCTTACTGGATGAAGGTTTTCCAGGGCTGAAATATGAGTTTTGGTACCTTGGCTAAATACAGCTATGTTTGCAGCTAGTAGTGCTTGAAGCAGAGCTGCAGTTAAAGGAGAACTTGATGACTGGAATGGTGGCAGGGGGGTGGACACAATTACAAAAAAAATATTTATATTGCCAATATAGATGTGGCAGTTCAGTCATACTGTCCTGGTCAAATGATATCAAAATGGATCAGTTGCATTTATATATTAATAACAAACAAAATCTTAAAATGTGGCTTTTAAGCAAGGACTTTCTCTGAATGTTGTCCATAAAGATACTAACGGTAAGGCAGGGAATTCAAGAGGAACAAAAATGTGCACATTTCAACCACTCCACTGGAGTGCTGAAAATGTGCAGCATGGGTGAGTGAAGGTGACATTTAAACCTTTGCACCATAAAAGATTTAGCCTTAGAATTGGTGGTAGAATTTTTAAAAGAGATGAGAAACCATATAAATCAGTACTGGCTAGGCCAGGATTTTCTTTCTAGGTGTTTATTCATGTAGAGGTGCAGGTTTAGGAGGACTGAATATCCCACAAAACAATGAGCTTTGCCTCCACTGGTGGCTAAACTCATCTAGTCAGTGCCTACATGTAATGAGATAATGTGATGTCATGCAGAATTATATAAGAAATAGTACTTTGGGCTTCAGATCCCTTCACAAATATAGATGAAGCAGCCCCATAACATTTCACTCTTGGTCCCCAGCACAAGTGAAGAGGCTGAGACAGAGAGCGACTCCTGCTCTCTGCACAAGGGAATTCTGTCCCAGGGGTTTGGGCTCGTCATGCTGCCTCTCCTTCTGCGCAGGAGGGGGACATCAGCATCCCAGCATTTCTCATGAGTGGAGCAATCCATTTTGTCAATCCACCAGCTGGCCAAAAGCTGTTGAGAGTGCCAGGTTCCCTGTCTGCCTGGTGCTAACCAGCTGGCCCTGGGCATGCTTAGGAGCTTGCAGAGCCAAGCCGAAGGCAGGAGGCAACGTGCAGGAGCTGGCTCTTAGCTGGATGGGAGCTGGCATCCTTACCTGGCCCTGGGAGCTATGTAATCCGTACAGTTGCAGCTGGGGATCTAAGGACTTGGCAAAGGGGGCAACCTGCCTGCCAGATTTATTTTGGTCTGTCAGGCAAGGTCACCAATTAATGCCTCCAGAGCCTTTCAGTTTGGTCACATCAGAATTTTCCAATGTGAAGCACTAGGATTGACTGATGCCCAGCTTCACAAAGGAAAATAAAAAAAAAAACCTGGATGTAGTGTGGGTGGTTAGACTGAAATCCTAAATGCTTTCTCCTGTACCTGTAAGTAGCAAGGCCTATAAGTGTCTAATTTTCACAACTTGTGCAGCTTTCCAGCACCCTAAAGAGCATTCTTGTATCTGCTCAGAAGTGTTGGAATAGATACAGGGCTTAGCCCTGTCTCACGAAGGGCAGATGAGGAGCCTCACACTAGATGTCTTCCCTCAGCACCTTTAATCTGTGTCAGTGAGACCTACAAAAAACAGTATCTGTGATTACACTCAGTATGTGATACAACAGTGGTTTCCACTTATTTTCTTACAAGGATTGAATGTGTTGAACAGTCACCTGAGATGTGAGACGTAGATTGAACACTGGGTTCAGACAAATGAAAGTTAGATCATGTGATACAGGTAATCATAAGAGACAATTAGAGCACTATGAAGCATACTATAAGGATGTCCAGATTGGGATCAAATGGAAGTGGTGCAGCTGCATTACAGAGTTTAATGGTGAAACAGCATTCAGAGATATCAAGATATCTGCAGTGACTCTGAAGTAATATAAAGAGGTTAGTGTCTTGGTAAGGTAAGCATTTTATTGCTTGTTCCAGCCCTAGCCTGAGTTTGCATCAATCTCTTATGCTCATAGTGAGTCTAATATGTATACCATCTGCAAAGTCTCATGGTCATGAACATATTTTGAACATTAATAGTTTTGTTTGGATCATGTAAGCAGGAATCTGTTGAATTGTAGTGTTAGCTTATTCAGCTCAATTTCTTCGTTGTGTTTCTTTTGATGTAATTATCTTTTTATCAGCTGATGAGAAAACAAAGCATCAAAGCATCTCTTGCTAGAGTAAATTTTCAACCACACAAGAGACAGATATGACTGTTGCTAAACAAGGCACTTAAACATTGCTTTATGTAATGTCTGTAAATAACACTGGGTTACTTCAACTTGCAAAGATTAAGATGATATATGGACAAAATAATGTGCAAACAAAAAAAAATGGAGATCAGTTTGAGAGGTGCTAGTCACAACATTTCATGCATTTCTCACCACTTACTGTATTTTGAAATTCATTTCATTACCAAGAAGATTTTAGGAGTCATGAAAGTGCTCTGAAGCTTCAGAACTAAAAGAGCCTGTGATCCATTTCCCCAGTGAGATAAAACAAGGATGTGGCAAAAGACCATGGGTCATTATTTCAGCATTGTTTGTTATGTTAACCCTTGCAGAGTTCATGCAAGACTCAGGTCTTCATGGTGTCTGATTATTCTTTCTTCAAAATATCACAATCTGCATTAAGGCAAAGCCAAATACAACAGAGAACGTGGCTGTCTAATAACAGGACTGAAGCTGACTTACGCGCATCCTGATGAGTCTCAGTTAGCTGCTACTGTGAAGAGTTTTGGTTTCATTTAGCCTCAATTAGGCAGATGGCGATTGGAGTAGTTCAGGGTAATCTACAGAGATTTTGGATGTTCAGGCTCCTTATGGGCTCTGAACTCCATCCTTTCCCTAACATTAAAACCTCACTTTACAATGACTGTGTCACACATGTCCCTGGCCTGGTTTGTAGTCATAGATGAGTGAAAGGTAACAGAGAAGGAAAACAGTGAGAAAAGAGAGAGAAAGTCTGTAGAACTCTGAAGGCTTCCACAAGCTGATGTTTTAACATAGGGTACAATCTGAATTTTAAAGCTGCCTGAATAGCTTCCAGTCTGGGTGCACATATACAGAGCTGCCTTCTTCGCCCTGGCTCAGGAGTTGTTTCTGCAGGTTTGATGAAGGGATGCTGTGATGCCCACATTTGTCCTCCTTAGAGAAGCTGAACAGGCCAGTGTGCAGTGATAAATGGGGAAAGAAAACTCAGGTGGTGGAAGAAACAGGCTACAGATAATGAAGGGAAGTGCTGTGATCAGATCTATCTATATGTGTACATAATTCCTTCCCCAAATTCATCTGAAAATAAACTTAATAATATTAGGATGTATAAGTGCTCAACGTGAATTACAGCTAAGTGAACCACAGGGGAAAAAGCAGAAAAAACAGGGTTTTTTTTTGTGCATTAAAACATTTTGAGGTATCAAAATAACAGCCTTTCAGACTGGTTGAAGAAGGACCATAAGTACTCTTTTTGAACATCTTTGGATTTTCTAGTAAACTGTTCTTCCAGCCCTGCTTGCAATATAATTACTGCCTATCCAGCAGTAACAGAAATGAGAATGTCTTAGGCAATGTCTTTTTCCTCCAGAGACAATGTGAAATGATGCTCAGAAAGGTACAGAATTGTAATGTACTCACAGGAAAAAAAACAAAAACAAAAACACATAGTAATCAACTGTGGAGGTTAGTGGGAAAAAAAACACTACCTCAAACCTTGATTAGAATTTATATAAAACTGCCTGGAATGTATCAGACCTATAAATAAACCTGAAGAGAGATTTAAACTGCTGCTAGTAAACAAATAAGCCTGTAGATGGCATGAGAGACCTTGAGATTCAACATACAAACCAACTGCTAATAGCTACTCTCCTGCAACCTTCTGTGCTGTCTCTGGTTTTAGCTCTAACTATCCTATATGCTGGATTCCCGAGGTTTCTTATTCATCAGCTACACTTAGATCCACACAGTACATTTATTTTTAGGGACAACTAAAGTTCATTTAATAACTCATTTAAACGTGCTGAGTAAAAGCCTGGATCTGTTGAGTTTAACCATTGACTTCAGTGGGGTTGGAATTGTACAAGTTATTTTTTCTTTTTTGTTGGTCATACTGGGGAGCAGGCATTTCATTTCCAGGAGGAGTCTGATATTAACAGTTTTATCTTTTCCTCTCATACTGCAGATCCTTTCTCCAGGGCACAACGACAGCTTTCCTGAGAGTCACTGTGTCATTTAAAATTAGTGAATCAAAAGAGCCTGGTCTGATGGACAAAAGGTTTGTTGCCTTTGTCTAGGATACAAAAGACTGTGTCTCCAACAGTTTTTTGCCTATCTTACCGTAATAGCAGGATCCGATTCTAGGCTTTTATGAATAATCCACTAAGGTTTAACCAAAGCTGACCATGAACAAATTAAGTGTATATATATATATATATATATGTTTTTTTTTTGTGTGCGTGTGAATGTATAGTTATTTTACAATTGGATGAATCTGAAAATGAAAACCTTCAACCTAGCAATAAAATAACCTAGTAATAAAATATACTCATGTGGTTATGAGATCTAGTGGAAAAATTTACTTTTCATCTGTAGAATCACTGAAGAACTTGCAAAAGGCATATGGGACTATAAATTCATATGCATTTCTGACTCCATCAGGTAGGTAAGTAGTCATATCCTTCTGATGCAGAAAATGAGGCACGGAAATCCCCAGCCTCATCCAAAATCACATTACAGAGCTGTATAGGCAGAATTAGGACTCAAGCCTTGCCTATGTTTAGACCTGTATCTTTTTTTATGGCACTCTTTTTTTTTAAGCAACACCAGAGTGCATATATATTTCCATGCTTGTTTTCCTTGTTTACTATGGTAAAGTTCAAAGTTCATTAATGCGTATCATTTAGAAGTACTAGGAATGAAAAGTAGAGTGTATAAAAGCTCAGCCTGTGAAATATACATTTTAATACTTGGTTGGCTATGTAACTGCATTATAAGATAGGACAATCATGATTTCTAATTGAGGTTTAAATATGGACTCTGCATATCCTCCCAGATGAGTTGGAAATGTCTATGTGGTGCATAAGAAACTCCAGAATAGCTTTTTCACACTTGTACTGTTAATGTTCTTAATTCTGTTGGCACAATGGGGTGATTGTCAATGTTTTGCTTTGCTGTGCCTGGTGCCAACCTCTGGCTTTACTAACTTTCATTATATTTGGATTTTACAGCTGGAACATCAATGGAGTCAGTCACAGGTATTCAGCTGCCTCGGCAAGAGGGCGCCAATGAACAGGAACCAGACAGAGATGAACGCTGCCCCTTCGAGATGGAAACAGGAGGAGCTGCATCTACCCCATGCCCTGGACAGCCCAGGTGTGTGCCTAGGTTTTGCTAGTGAATGCTTCCCCTCTGTCTGACCCTGCACCCAAACCTGGCTGTGTTACTGGTAGGGTGATGAGGCACAGATTCCTTGGCCAAGGTCTGCCATAGGGGACATTTTTGTCTTTCCTTCTTTGTGTCTGGGAGAGCGTATGAACAGGTGTTTCCTTAGGATTGATGGACTCAAGCCACAGCAGGCAGCATCCTGCTGGTGGGGGCTTTGTTGTCTATTAATAGCACAGCCAGTGGAAGTGCTAACTGAACAGCTTCTGCTGGGGGAGAGGCACATGTGTGTGGTTTTAGCATGTTTTTCTGCCATCAGCAGGAAGAGATGTGAAGCCACTCTGGTGGCTCCCTTTAACTGCTGAGACACTGGAGATGCCTTCTTGTCAGTGCAGGAGCCAAAGTGGTGCTTTGCCAGGGACAGACCTTACCTAGCATGCTCAGTGGTTTTTAAAACTGTACAGGATGTATTATATATCATCATTGTAAAAGAGGTTAATTTAAGGCCATTGATCAGGCCTTGATTTTTTTTTTTTCCAGTGAGTTCAACAGTTTGTAAATTGTTTCCAGGAGAAGGCATTTGCCTTTATGAGTTGCTTGTATTTTTGGTACTGTATATCCCAGCTTGATCATTGTTAATTAGTGTCATGCTTCTGTGTTTTATTGCAAGCAGAATTACTTCACTTACTAATGGCCTCTTTGCTGCTGCTAAATTCCTATTCTAGTAGTTGAGCATGAAAGTTAATTTTTCTTCCCTCACTACATTTCTTCACTGCCTTTGTCTTATCTGAAGTGGTTGACTGGCAAAAGTTTCTCTTTTGTAAACAAGTGGATTAAAAGGAAAGGTGTTGGATTAAAGGCGGCAGACTCCAGTCTGATCCTATGAAAGTCAATGGCAAAATCTCCCATAAGTCACAGTGAAAACAATACCAGAAAGAAAAGGCCTCTCAAGGTGTAATATTAGTGTCATTTTAAAGAAAAGTGGAATGTAGTATTCTCTATCGCTCTTCTTGTTTGCAGCTACTTTTTTTTTTTTTTTTTCCCAGTATAGTAATTCTGATGAGTTAGCAAAACAAAGCTTTTGTACAGGGAATTTGTGACAGCTTCATTACAAATAAAAGCACAGTGCAAGAGCTCATGCTATTGGTATGAGTGAGTTTGAACATGCTTGACAACAAAAAAATCTGTTGAATAGAGAGAACTAGCTATCTGAATAAAGGCCCAGTATGTGTGAAGGCTCTCAAACACAATATGTAGTCTAAGTAAAGCCTGAGTGAAGGGGAAGGGCCAGGTAGCTCTCTTGTGCCCTCTCTATCCCTGAACTGCTGCTTATCCTCAGGAGGCTGGGAGAGTACTCAGTACGCCGAGGAAAAACTGCATCTTGCTTAATTTCAAGCTAGTTTCAAGTTGCAGTGAGAGATAGCAAGAGGAGTACTACTTTACTCATGTTTCTGCTCTTGAACGAAAAGCACTGAAAAATGTTATTCTGTAATTGTTCATCTATTTAGTCTTCAGTCCTCCTCTTTCTGATAGCTCAGGTTTTTAGTTAGGAAAAGTATTTTCTTTAATGACAGCTTCCTGGCAGCATTTGGGTTCAGCGCTACCTTGCCCATGCTAAGGCTTCTCTTGGAAGAGTGTGCTAGCAGCTACTGCCTGTTATGGAGCACGTCACAGCTCACCGCACAGCTGATTTGTGTTCAAGGGGATATTGTGTCGTCACAGGGGGTGTGAAGGTGCCACCTAATCTTGCTCCCCTGGGTGGGAGGGAATTGCCTTTCTGCATAGGCCTAGTGAGAGCTATCAGACTGACACTCCACTAGTTAAACACGGTCTGACTGTCCCTCTTTGCTTTATTTTAGCTTTATGATGCTATTGATCTTACATTTTTTAAAATATATATATTATTTTGGGGGGTATTTGGAATACTAACTTATGTATTATTGTTCCCTGAAGTTTTTGAAAGCATCATTTTCATAGATACACAATAGGAAATGGTAAACCAAAAAAAAAGAAAAAAAAAATCCTATTCATACTTTTAGCTCATGAGGTAACAGCACATCCATTGAAATTTAAATCAAAATGGGGACTGTGTCACACACTATAGCTCTCTGGAAAGCTACAGTGGGAGTCTAGCAGTCCAATTCATTCCTTTGTAGAATGTACTAAGGCTAATGGTCTTGCTGGGAGTAAAATGTATTTTTTGCAGAATGGTTCCAAGAACAGACTTTGCTTTTTACCATAAAACATAAAAGAAAACAAATGCTTACTGTGTCTTTAGTATGCTAAATATGAAATTCTCTACACAATGGAATGTTAGCAGTAGCCGTAATCATGTTTTCATTTCATCACCTAGTGAACATAATTTTAAGAGAGGACTGCTGTAATTATATTTCAGATAAAAAGAAGCAGAATTTCTGGATAATATTATAGTTGGTCTGATTGTTTTGTTGATAGGGAAAAATAAAGACAGAGTACACATGAATACTTATTTAATGAACAACATATTTATTAAGCAGTGCAGACTGTACATAATGCATTTGACTTCGGATGCAATGCAGTAAGCTTACTTTCTTCAAGCACATTTCTTAATATTTTACTACAACTATTACATTCCTTCTTACCTGACCAGGTATTCAATTATTTTTGTAATATGTCTATAGCACAACACTAAGGAATTTAGCTTAACTACAGTCGCCAGTGCAGGTACAATCAATGTCAGCATCCACAGACTCTACAACATCCTCAGATGCAGATTTCTTATCACTGCTTCTCTGCCATTCCAGCAGGCTTACAGCAGTATCTGTCAGAAGAGCAAAGCCATTGTTAACGAACATCAAGCAAATTAACACATTTCATGGAAATACTGTTTTGATGGCTGCCAACTCCCTCATCAAGTAAAGAATGAAAGCCTGCCCCCACAACTGACATCTAACTGACTCATTGACTTGGAGCAGGATTTTCATCCATGATATAATTACTATAATACTTCCCTAAAAACAAAATGAATAACGTTTCAAGAAGCACAATGACAACAGGCAGAAGCCAGTAAAAGTGCTGGAGGAGGTAGCCACTTTCATAGTAAGACCACCTCATACCAATATACATCAGCAATCTCTTTTTATGTTATTTCTGCATATCACTGCATATTTCAGCTGATTATTTGTCGAAGTTCATCTTGAAGGATAAGCCCTTTGGAGAATTTTCAGAGGTTCATAAACTTCTAATTAAAGTTTCCCATATATTGTGAAATCTGACAGAGCATTGTCAGTTGCAGTATTAACCTTACCACACTGCTTTATCAACAGCAGCTTGAATAAACCATATCCTTTAATGCTGAAATAATCTAAATGGAATGATAATATTCATCCTCCCAATAAATATTCTTAGATAGTTGGAGGTTTATCATTGCAGCTGGAAGAATATTAGAACATCCATTTAGATTAAGTTTGCATAATCAGAATGGGTAAAGCTTTCATAATTTTACTTCTATTTGTTTTATCCCTCAGTTGATCAATATATTTTTAACATGCCATCTCTTATCACAGGGAAATCGGATACTGCTGGGTTTGGGTCACTTTTTGATCTCCTGGTCACTTACTGATCTCCTGAAATGCTCATACCTTCCTTGGGTGAATTACTGTCCAACCTGAAGCATGGAAGTTTTTTTTTTTTTTTCTTTTCCATAACTACTTTGAAATTTAATATTTCCCAGAAACGTGCTTGAGATGCTTTTTAAAAAATGCATAATATTTTCAAGCTATGAAATGAGATCTGCTATGAAAGTCTAAGGTCTGTTTTTTACATACTTTGATTCTTGTTATGCCTGAGGGTACTCTGTGAGTCTGTCTATGTTCATATCTATGTAAGAAACAGTTCCCTGGGCTAACTGGATCATGGCAGAGTAACTATCGTCCGTATGGGTAGGACGTGTGGCATGTTTGAAATGTAAACTGGTATACAGGTTTAGACATGGAATGAAATCAGCCTCAGTCAGGATCCTAAGACTATAGGCTCACTGATTCGAGGACAACAGGCAATTTTGCACCCTTGAACTTCATTTTATCCTTCTGTCAATTGTGACAGTGAAAGAGTCCCTGTCTTTTGAGACAGCAGGCTATCAAGTCTGAATTCTCATATAAAGAGCTGAGAAAAGGTTTTTGTCCTGCGTATGCAAATACATATTCACATCTTGGGAAAGATGGGGATTTTCTTTCTGTTGCTTCTCCATGTCAAAGAAAGAAAAAGGCCAGTTTTAAGGGCTGGCCTTGTATTCCTATTGAGCCCTAGCCTGAGGAAAAGCAATCATCTTGCTAAAAAAAACTCAAATGGCATCTTTTCCCTTCCTCCTCTTCCAGATAAATAAATAAAAAAGTCCTTGATTAAGAGTGCTGCTAGCACACTTCCCAGCCTCTGGTTCAGTAAATGTAAAAACAGCAGTGGCTGAGACAACTAACGTTTTTTTTCCTTCTCTGATTTTCCTCTTTTCTAACACATTTTTGTGAGAGAATGAGACAGCTTTATTACAACCTAATATTCTGAGGCAGTGAGTGGCCTGGGGTGATGACATTTGAGAGATAAAGACTTGGACACACAAAAGAAATCTGTGAAACATGGATATGACAAGATTTTGGAAGTTTTTTTTTTTTTTTTTTTTTTTTTTTTTTGAGGTGTCTTTCTTTTCATAAAAGGATGCATCTGGCATCTATTCTCTTCTCATGGAGCTATTAGAAAATATTAGCGTACAGTACCTATACACTATGTGATCTATTAATTAATTAAAAGATTTAGGAAAGAATGCACCAGAAATATGTATACATTCAAGGCTGGATTCTCCTCTCAAACTTGTATAACTGTACTGCAAATCTGTGTTAGATGATGCGTTGCATCCATGACAAATTCGTATAAGTGAAAGAAGGAAAAGGCTCAATATTTTAAAAAATCTGGGGCACAAGTATGTCTGTATAAAATACCTTCAAAAACAAACCATTTTTTGGAACAATCTAGAGAACATTTCAGCAATGTGTTTTTTGCTGATGTATTGCACAGTGGCATAGCATGGCAGCCTAATCACAGCAGTCATGTCACACTACTTGACTGACTTTCAATTGCCTTGCTTGCCCTGGTCTACACAAAATTGCAGGCTGTAATGTGCATAAAAAGACTTACTGTTGCTTATCACAACTTTATGGAGATCCTGAAAATGTGGAAAAAAAAAATATTGATCTCTGCTGCCCTTTTTACCACCTCAAATGTTTTTCTCAGATGATGCTACCTGCCATCACCTAAACTAGCTTTTAGCTAGCCAGTGCTGTCAGTGGTTATAGCAAATACTAATGGGATTAAAAACAGCAGCTCAGAGGGGAGCTGGAGCAATACAGGTTTGTGCGTGGCTGTGTTGTGTTTTTTTTTTTTGTTTTTTTTTTTTTCTTTTGAGTACTCTGTCAGAGCTCCTACAGTATGTGACACAGAAAAAGAAAAATATCATACCTTTTGGGAAACAGTGGAAGCCAACCTTAACTGAAGTTTTTTCTATTGGAGTACAGTCTTTCATACATTTCAGTACTGGGTCAACAGAATAGCATGTAGACTCCTCTCCGTCAATAGTAGGATTTCGATTCAGCTTCACATAACTGCGCTGCAGTTTGCACCCTAAGAGGAAAAGGAAAGTTAGTTAAAATTGTAGAAATAAATCCCAATCGATCCTTGCAATAATAAAGGTCCATATTTTCTCTTCAGCTTTTATTAAAACACAGGTCCCTGACAAACCATTTTCACAGTAGCGAGGTTATCAAGATAGGATGATAATAAGTTGGGGGATAGAAGAAAGATTCTGAAAGGGGAGCTATTTTTAAAATGTAATTGCACAATATAACCCAAATGGAATCATGTATATCCAGTTTTTTAGAACTACATAATACACAGAAAATAACCTCTCATGTCTGAAAGCTATTAAGAATAGATACTACAAGCACAATGGCTACTTCATTGCATTAGGAAAAATGTCAACTGTTGTGAATGGATAAAAAAAATGGCAGCATTTATATAATAACATCAAGGATAATTTTTGTATTGGATGATTTTTATAATGCTGCAATTATCTCACTAGAAAGGTATAATGTAACTTAACAGAATCCAAGCTATGACTCTGTTTTCTGACATACAGATAAGTACAATTCTACTGCCAACGAAGTCAAGGAGAAAACAACCATTAACTTCAATAAAGTTGTTTCAGGTCGAAGGTAAGTGGAGACCTGTGGAACAAAACTGTATTGATGTTATGGGAGACCATCATTATTCTTCCAGCTCCATGTGAGAGGAAATTCTTACTTTAGGAGTATTTCTAAATATTTCCCTGAAATTGCACCCTTGGATGATGCAGAACAAAAATGAAATTTTGAGCACTCTGTAAATTTACATAATCTTAAAATTTGACCTACAGCATTCATAGTATGTAACACGTTTTATTAAATAAAGTTTACAGATAACAGACGAAACTGCCTTGTTTCAGATGAAAATCACACTGATTTCAGCTGAGGCAAGATTAGGTCTGATTTTGCCTCTCCAAGAAAAAAGCTACTCAGTGTAAGAAACTATAGTAGAATCAATTATTTAACATCGAACTGCACATGATACAAATGCTTTTGCTGTATTGTATGTTCGCTGTGCTCATAGGTACTGTTTTAAACAGTTGTTAATAATGAAGTTACAATAATATTGCGATTGTCTTTTTTAAAGTAAAAGATATATACTGCCTTTTTTTTTTTTTTTTTTTTAATCCTTTCCAGTTATTGGCAGAAGAAAACTGAAATTGTATTCTCCCCAAGTATAAATTATTTTTAGATCTACTCACCACCAGAACAGGTTTCTTCTAGTAATACCCATGAATGAACAAAAGCAGAAGAGCTGTGTGCCAGCTTATGATTTGGCATTAGGAGTTCATTGTGCTTTTCTCTGTCATTATTTCCACAAACTCCACAGGTCTTTCCTCTCATCCATGCAGCAACAGTAACCTATAAAATAACACACCTTTGTAGTGGATACTGAAGTGCTTGTCTGTTACATTGCCAAGGCACTACATGGAAAGAAAGCAGTAACCTTGGAAAAAAAGCCCCATACCTTAAGGATCATTCCATCAAAAGTTACATTCTTCAGTCCATGTGTTGGAGCTTCCACAATAACTGTTGCTCCATTTTTATAAATTTTAATATTACCTGTAAAAAGATAGTTAATCATCATAAGGTGATGTGTTGAATTTTAAATTAATGGAGGAACCGAGTAGCACAAAATAAGTTAGAATGTCTTTTCCTTCACAATCATTGACACATCAGCAGGTCATTGTTCTGCTGCAGTTGGAATGTCTGTTTTGTTTTATTCTGTGAGAGAGAAAACAAGTACAAGCCTGGACATACTATATATTTAAGAAAGGGGGTTATTTACCCTTCAGTTATACTGAGGAAAAGTAAGGCTGCATCTTCTATGGAAAACACAGGATTATAAATGAATAGAAATATTAATAAAGTCTCTAGTTTTTCTTTGAATTAATCTCACTTATAAAGATTGTGCTGCTTCTGTGAAATCTGTAAAAGCACAGTCTTGAAGATATTTAGTTTCTAAATCAGACCAAGAAAGGTGAGTATCACAGTTTACCTTTTTCATATTCA